TATCTGACCGCAGGCACGTCCAGAAACTTTGTGGTGGGTTTGTAACTTGCGTGTTTTCGCACGGTTTAGGGTAACTTTGTAACCCCCCTTGTGTGTTGTCGAAGAAACCCTAACTCCTTTTTTTTGTCATTCCATCCACAAATCATCCATAAAACAAGGAAGGTATTGAAAAAAAAAAAAAAAAAAAAAAAAACAAACAAGGAAGGTATAGATAGGCAATACTTTGTATGCGTGTTTGTGTGGGGCAAGGAGGGGGGGGGGTTGGAGGAGAGGGGGACAGGGATTTGCGACTGGTCATTCATAAAACAGGGAGGGGGGAAGGGGGGGAAGATGGATTTTGGGACTTGCCTTGACAGTTATAGAATAATTGACTAAGTCCCACATGCAAACAGATCCATCGGAACAGCACCTGCACAGTGGATAAAGATCATGTAGACAAGCAGCTGGTAAGTGAGTAACGGCATCCGCAATTTTGAATTTTCTGGGATTTTTTATCATTTCTTAAAAATATATATATATTAAATTTATTTATATATTTTTTAATTTGTTTACATCTGGCTGAATATAACAAACTGTTAGAACAGAAAAGGAGGACCTTGGCAGCCTTGATGAAGATTAACATGACAAAAACGTCCATGAAACGGTTTTCACCTTAGCAGTAGCAGATGCAGATCCCAGGGCTTGATGCCTAGACCTTACCACACCCGTGTACAGTATCGAGTCGACCCCTGTGTGTTTGAACTTTGAACCCGTGACCTGTGTTTTGATAGTTGACTGTTGTCTGTCATGGGTCTGTGTAGCTATAGGGGTTCGATCTGTAGGTCTGTCGAGTAGGGGTTACATCTGTGTAGAGGTCGTAGCCGCTACAGTCCCGAAAGGTCAAGGTCGTAGCTGCTAAAGTTCCGAAAGGCCAAGTCCACAGACTTCTGGAAGGTCCGGAAGTGGCCTTTCGAATGTTGCTCACAGCAGACCAGAGGCAATTGGGCAAGTGGTGAGTCCAACCCTGGTTAGTCAGCGGTACCCAGTCCCAGTCTCATTTAGTCCAGTCAGCAAGTACCATGTGGGACTGTGTGCACTATGGGCGCGGTGGAAAAAGGGGCAGACCAACGACCAACAGAAGTATAAATCAACAGGCACCGTCCAGCCATTCATTCATTCTGCTGCGAGCCAAGAGGAAGCGCTGCCAGCAGATTCCCGAAGCCGAAGTGGGCTGCGAGGGAGACAGAGAAGCCATAGCTGCTAGTAGTGATAGGGTTAGCGGGCAGCCATAGCTGCGCTCGGTTAGAGTAGTCTTCAGTGCGTGTGTGTACGAGTGTGCAGTGAGAGTGTGTGCACGTGGGATATCCAGGGAGATCCAGTGAAGTGTGCGTGTGAACAAGTTGTGAGGATACAGTGTCATGGGGGATGATGTAAGGGCGCACAGGCGCCGTAGTTACTTGAAGTGAGTTTGTATCTGAACTGTGTTCTCGCCTGTAATATCTCTGAGCTTTGTGTGGGCGCCTGGCGCCAGGGTGATTTGCCATCTGTTTACATGCATGCGAAGTGAGAAGAAAGCAAGTCTGACTGCATCCATCACAAGAGAAAGAAAGTAGCAGGATGTGAACTTGACCAGGTGCAAGGCACTGTACTTGTACGTGGAGAAACATGCATGATGCATGCACATTCCAATAGGAGGAGTAGGAGGGCGTTCATCCGTTTCAAATTTGAAGGATGCAATTATTAAAAATTGAGCAGAATAATTAGCATGGTCCCTGGGCAAGGATGACACACATAAAAATTGAGAAAGGGTCGAAAATAAACAAAAGGAAAATTCAAAATTGTTGAAATGCCCCTTGGTATTTTGTCAGATACGCCTAAAAGGCATGGGTATGGCGAAATGCCCCCCTATGACAGTTGAGAAACTTTGTGAAATACCCCACTCAGTGGCACTCACCCATTGGACCTGTCATCTTTTACATATACCCCTACCGGGCCCTGCGCAAGTCATCTATATGCCCCCGTATATTCTGGCCGTTGGACCCTGCAGATGCCAAACAAAATGCCCGGGCCCCTGCAGCCTAGGGCCAGGACATACGGGGAAGTTGCCCATGACCGCAACAGGGGCAAATGCAGAAGTTTGTTGTTGTTTGCTCTAGGATTCGAACTTGGGACCTAGGGTTCGAACTTGGGACCTAGGGTTCGAACTTGGGACCTAGGGTTCGAACTTGGGACCTAGGGTTCAAACTTGGGACCTAGGGTTTGAACTTGGGACCTGCTGCAAGGTAAGTATAGCTGTTTGCTTTTGTTTTATATATACTGTTTTGAAACTTTTGAAGCTTGTGAGTTTTGAACCTAGGACCTCCTTGCAGAATCTCTGTAGGCGGAGTTTAGAGTAGGCTCTAATTTTATTACATTTAATTAATTTTTCAATACGCAGACCTGGTAGGCCTACCGTCTTCACCCGGATAGAACGCCGTCGCCCGGTCATTATCTCTGTGTATCTAAACTGAAAGTTGCACCAAATACAGCTATAACGATCGGGCTTTCTATTCGGGTGAGGATGGTAGGCTAGGAAAAAAAACAGCTCGTCGTCAAAAGTGACGAGCTGTGCAAGTTACAAATGTTTCGCTCTGCAAGTTTGCTCGAGTAAGAAGAAGCAGCAGTGCGAGCAGCAGCAGTACAGTAGCAGTCATATCTAAAGCCACAGCAGTAGTAGCAGTCAATCTGCAGCCGCAGCAGCGGGCCAGTCTTATCTGTAGCCACAGCAGCAGTGGGGGATTGGAGATGGTGGGGAGCATATTGGTGGCACTGAAGAACTGGTGATAGGGAGTGGTGTTCTGGTGATGGTGGGTCCTGGGACGGGGTGGGTTGGTTGGTCGGGAAGGTAGTTATGATGGTGCTGGGTGTGTCAGTGGTGGGAGGCAGGAAGGGTGTGGTAATGGTGATACAGCAGCCGCAGCAGCAGCAGCAGGAGGAGCAGTGGTGTTGTGGGTGTTGTGGGTGTTGTGGGTGTTGTGGGTGTTGTGGGTGTTGTGGGTGTTGTGGGGTCCTGGGATGGGTGGGTGGGTTGGTCGGGGAGGTAGTTATGGTGGTGCTGGCTGTGTCACTGGTGGGAGGCGAGAAGGGTGTGGTAATGGTGATACAACAGTAGCAGCAGCTTGAGGAGCAGTGGTGTTGTAGGTGTTGTGGGGTCCTGCGATGGATGGGTGGGTTGGTCGGGGAGGTAGTTATGGTGGTGCTGGGTGTGTCACTGGTGGGGGGGGAGGGAAGGGTGTGGTGACGGTGATACAGCAGCAGCAGGAGCACTGGTGG